CGAAGGCAACCAATCGATGTGTTTCTCTCACATCGATAGTTCTGTCTTACCCTCTCTCTTCCACTCTCTCTAAAAATCAATGGAAAAACAGGCTCAGGTGAGGATTAACAAAAAAAGATTCCAGCCCAGTTAATGACAGCGATATACTGGGCTGAGAATCCAGAACCATTGGCTCTGAGTTCTGGGCCCTGGGGCCTTAGGGCTCTGTCTCCTCCCATTCCATCCCAGCGCTCAGAAGCCCAGCCTGCTTCCCTGCGGGTCTCCCAAGGCAGGGCTTGGAGCTGGGGCACGGAGGACAAGCCCACAGCTCCTCCCACCAGGCATCACGGTGCCCCATGTCCCCGCAGCTCTGTCGGCCCAGGGGACAAAGGCATTGCAGGTCGCCCGGAGGAGCGCCCAGCGGGCCGTAAATCTAGTGGCGATGGAGATGCAGCATAGATTGCATGAGTGCCAAAGTTGTGCCAACCGCACCGCCCCCTGCACAGGTGAGCTTGCACCAACTGCCTGGGACTGTTCTCCTGCTCACCCCAGCCCTCCCTTGACTTGCCTCCCTCTTGGAGACAGAGACTGAGTGTGGCTGCAACGGGACAATGTATGAAGGTCTAGGAGGAAAGCGCTTTCCTGTCAGGCTTGGGGCTCCACGTGTGCAAGGGCTGGGGGAAGGAACAGAGTGAGCTCATTTGGTGAAGAGTGAGAAGTTTGTGGCTGCTGGCACAGACCCTGACTGCTATGGGGTGGGGGCAAGAGAAGGGGAGCCTATGGGAGAGAGAGGGCTGGGCAGGGAGGATGGCAGCGCTTGTTTGGTCTGTTTCTCAGCAGGACCGGGGCGCCCCAGGCCTCAAACCCCCCTGCTCCAGGACCCACCTGAGCCAGGTGAGGCTGAAAACAAGTTCCAAGGGGACGGGGCTGAGAGCAGGTGGGCCCGGGAGGGGCCTGGATGGTGAGAACGCCAGGACTTGTCCTTCATGACTTCCACCTTTCTCCTCTCAGGGCCATGTGGCGAGAGGCGCCCGGGGAAGGTCAATGGGACGCGGGCCAGTGGCCGCATCGTGGGGGGCAGCGCGGCGCGGCCCGGGGCCTGGCCCTGGCTGGTGCGGCTGCGGCTCAGCGGGCGGCCTCTGTGCGGCGGCGTCCTGGTGGCGGCGTCCTGGGTGCTCACGGCGGCTCACTGCTTCGCAGGGTACGTCCGGCCCCCCGCCTCTGACCAGCCCGGGGCACCCAGATCCTTGGGTGGGCCGCACCCTCTAGGGCGGCGGTCTCTGCTGCCCCCTGGCGGCGGCAGCCCTGCTCCCTAGCTCCCGGCCTCCAGGCTCCCGCCAGGGGGCGCCTTCAACCCCCTAGCTGCAGCGGCCTCACCCGGGCTCGCCCTCCCTGCCCTGGGACAGGAAACCGCCGGGCTGGCGGGCTGGCTGGGGGTGCCCGTGGGCGGGGAGCAGGGCCCCAGGGAACATGCCGCTCGCCACGCAGCGCCCCGAACGAGCTTCTGTGGACGGCGACGCTAGCCGAGGGGCCCCGCGGGGAGCCAGCAGAGGAGGTGCCGGTGAACCGCATCGTGTCCCACCCCGAGGTGAGAGGGCGGCCCCCAGGCCCTCGGAGCTGGAGCAGCGCCCCCACCTCACACCTCGCTGACCCCGCGTCGCCCCTCTCTGCCCAGTTTGACCCGCGGACCTTTCACAACGACCTCGCCCTGGTGCAGCTGTGGACGCCGGCGAGCCCGGCGGGGGCCGCGGGCCCCGTGTGTCTGCCCAGGGGACCCCGGGAGCCCCCCGCCGGCACCGCCTGCGCCATCGCGGGCTGGGGGGCCCTTTTCGAAGGTACCGGCAGGGCTGGGCCCGCGCGGGTTTGCCTAGGAGCAATAGGGTCTGGGGAGGCCAGTGTGCACCGCCTCAGACCTACGCCCAACTGTCTTCGCCAAACGCTGCCCGACTTTGCAAAGGGGGAGGGATCAAGGGGGTGCAATGGGAGGGAGGGACCCTCCGAACGGAGCCCCTGCCCCCCACGCCTGAGTCCACGCCGTCGCTCCCCTGTAGATGGCCCGGAGGCTGAGGCGGTGAGGGAGGCCCGCGTGCCCCTGCTCAGCGCAGACACCTGCCGCAGGGTCCTGGGGCCCGGGCTGCGCCCCAGCACCATGCTCTGTGCCGGCTACCTGGCCGGGGGCATCGACTCGTGCCAGGTACGAGCCCCAGTTGATTGGAGGGCGCTGGGCGGCCGCTTTCTAGGGGCGGGACAGCCCACTTTCCTCTGAGCCTCTACGTCCTCGTGGCTAGAATGGGTACAAGAGCCCCAGCAGGGCTCCAAGCTGCCTAATCCTGCAGCTGTAAGGCTGACGAGTGGGGTCGGGGCGAGGGGTCGATGTAGCGCCCTCTCTCTTGGCTCTGGTGCCCGCAGGGTGACTCTGGAGGCCCCCTCACCTGCTCTGAGCCTGGCCCCCGCCCCAGAGAGGTCCTGTATGGGATCACCTCCTGGGGGGACGGATGCGGGGAGGCGGGGAAGCCAGGGGTCTACACCCGCGTGGCCGTGTTCAGGGACTGGCTGCAGAAGCAGATGAGCGGTGAGTGCTGGATTCCCATTGTCCCCTCCGCGGCGTCCCGCCCGTAGAATAGCTCTGGGACGAGCCCGAGCTCACGTCCTCCCCGCGTGCCGCCCGCCCCCTTCTGCACGGGAAAGCTTCCCTCCGAGGCAGGACTTGGGGGGCGTGATAGGGGGGTAAGCAAGCCCCCGCCGCTCTCCGCAGCGGCCCCCTCCAGCCGCGAGCCCAGCTGCAGGGAGCTTCTGGCCTGGGACCCGCCCGAGGAGCCGCCCGCGGACGCCGCCGCGCCCTGCGCCTTCTACGCCCGCCTGTGCCCCGGGCCCCAGGGCACCTGTGCGTCCCTAGCGCATCGGCAATGCCTGCAGCGCCGCCGGCGATGCGGTCAGTCCCGTCCCCCGCGCCGGGCCAGGGAGCAGGGAGCCTCCTCGCCCAGGCCTGGCCGCCAACCGCACCCCGTCCCGCCCGCAGAGCTGCGCTCGCTGGCGCACACGCTGCTGGAGCTGCTGCGGGGCGCCCAGGAGCTGTTCGGCCCGAGCCCGGGGATGCGGCGCCGGGCCCGCGCCCTGGCTCGCCCCGCTCCGTCGCCCCGGGAGACTCCTAGGCACCGCGCCCGCGAGCAGCGGCTGCACCCAGGTACTCCGAGCCCTGGCAGCCCAGCCCCGGCCCCACCCCTGGGCGGCTGAGGCTTCCCCCTAATCCTGCGTCTTCCCGGGATCACCGGCTGCAGGGACCCTATTCCCCAAGCGGAAGACGGAGCAGCGCGGAGACTCGCGAGGTAATTGCGCCCCCTGCCGGCCGTCGCCAGGGGAGTAGCCGAGAGCTGGCGGAAGCCCGGAGGGGATTCTCCTGCATGGGGAAAGCCCTTACCCGAGGCAACCGGCAGACCCTCTCTCCTCCCCTGAAACGGGAATGACCCTTTGGGGCTACTTGTGGCTTTGGGTCCTCATCAGTGTCAGAAAATCTCGACTTTGTTATCACTTGACCTCTCTAAGCCTCAGTTTCCCCATCTGTGGCATGGGAGGCGGTCCTGAGGTGCTGGTGTCTCTCTTGCAGACTGCCCTGGCCTGGAGCCCCTGCGGCAGAAGTTGGCCACCCTCCAGGACACCCATGCCTGGATCCTTCAGGTCCCCCCAGAGCGCCTGGCCATGGACTTTCAGGAGGTAGGTCTCCAGGCTTCCCGACTCCTCCACAGTGGCCTTTGAAGGCAGACCTAGGGGGACAGAACGGGCACCCTCCCCGGCAGCAGGGAGGGCTTCACCCCCACAGCCTGGAGCGGTGGGGAGGCAGAATCCAAGAGGAAGCAGGAAGGGCAGCTGTGTGTGAGCGAGGGTACTGGGTGGGCATGAAGGTGTGGTGGGGAGAGGGAAGATGTGAGTGGAGGGGCAGGAAGTGTGCAGGGCTGTGGGGTTGAAAGGAAGGGGGTGGGTTTGGGTGAGAGTTTGGGGGGCCAGGAGGAGGGGACAAAGAGTAGCATTGGAGCCCCTGAGCACCCTCCTCCCTCTGCAGGTCCTGGCCGATCTGAGCTCCAAGACGATAACAGGGCTCTTCCGAGCCTGGGTTCGGGCTGGCTTGGGGGACCGGCGTGTGGTCTTTGGGGGCCTGGTGGGCCTGGAGCCAGCCACACTGGCTCGAAGCCTTCCCAGGTTGCTGGTGCAGGCCCTGCAGGCCTTCCGCTTGGCTGCTCAGGCCAAGGCAGAGCCCCAGGGAGCCTGAGTGGGTGCGAGGCAGAGCTGGGGGGCAGCACCCACAGTGCCCTCAGGTTCCTCCAGCCAGACAGCTATGAGCCATGTCTGGACCCCCAGCCTCTGGTTAGGCCCTCCTGCTCCCAGGGGCTGGGAGGGCTCAGGGAGCTGCAGTTGCCCAGGTGTGTGGGGTGGGGTGGGGTCCTGGGCCCGGGGACCCACCTGTCTTCCCAGATGTGTCATCAGAAAATCACAGCTGCTTTAATAAACGTTATTTATGATGTGCCGAGACAATGCTGGAGCTTTTGTGAGGAGGGAACTGGATGGCGGACCCTGCAGGGCAGGCCCAGCCTTCAGAAGCAGTTGGCAGAAGTCACAAAGACAGAGGACAGGGTTGCTAAGCCCCCATCTGAGCAGACCTGTCTGCCACCCAAGAAATGGCAGCTGACCTGCTTATCGCCACTCCATGGCTGACCAGCACCGTCCAGCGTGTCCAGCGCCTCCACCCAGCCCTCCCCCCATTGGCTAGCTGTGGGGACTCCTAGCCCGGGACCTTTGCCTCATGTCCTTGGGCTCCTGCCCTGCTAGCCAGTTCCTATCCTCACCCCCTCATCACCTGCCCCGGGATCTCTGCCCTACAGCAGAGCACAGAGGCATCGGATTGCATTTCCGGCTGCCTCTTTCCTCAGCTCCTCCACCCCCACGCTGCACCTGTCCCCTCTGCCACTCACCCGCATTCCCCAGCCCAGTGCACAGGAGCAGATGCAGGACCTAGTTGGGGAGACAGGATGGAGGGGCCTGTGTTAACACTGGGACTGCTGGCCACCCTGGTTGTCTGTGGTAAGATTGGACATCATCCCACCCAGCTCCCCCAAAGCCTCGTCCCCTCACAGCTCCCTCCCCACTCCCATTGCCATTTCTCCCTGGAGGACCAACCACCAGGGCCCCTGCCCAGCGCCCGTCCCTGTTCCCAACTGTCCCCAGGCTGCTGGGGTCTAAACGAGGAGGAGCGGCTGATCCGGCACCTGTTTACGGAGAAGGCCTACAACAAGGAGCTCCGGCCCGTGGCTCACAAAGAGGACAGCGTGGACGTCTCCCTGGCCCTCACCCTCTCCAACCTCATTTCCCTGGTGAGTGGCCCCTCCACGGCTGGGCTGGGGGCTGGAGGGCAGGGACAATTTCCTTGACGCCTGGCTCTCTCCCGGTCTGGATGGCCACGAGGGGAGCTCAAGGCCGAGGGCCGCCCTGTGGAAGCTCCTCTCTTGGTACCATTTCTGCCCCCAGACCCTTAGGCTGGTACCCCTCCCTTCCTGCTGTTCCCCCATATCACCCCCATGACATACTTCAGAGGCCTTGTGTCCTCCCTGCTCCCTGCCTTGCCCGCCCACTCCTGAGTGCTTGGGGTAGGAGTTTGGTCAGGCCAGTTGCCCTGGATTCCCCTGGGTGGCAGCCGGGAGGAGGTGCCTGGTGAATGCGTGCAGCTGAAGGAATGATGCAGCCCTCCTGTTCGCTTACAGAAAGAAGTGGAGGAGACCCTCACCACTAACGTGTGGATTGAGCACGTAAGAACAGCCCACTCAGAGCAGGGGGCTCGGAGAGAGTGCAGGGCCTAGGCTCCCCTGTGCCCGCTTCTGCCTCAGACATTTCCTGCGGGCGGCGCTGGCTCCTGCCTGCAGAGGAACCCCTGCCAGTTGCCCTTGCCCGCCTAGTGCAGCCACCAGCCCAGCCAGAGCCTTTGGGTGGACTGGGATTCTTCATCTGTGGGAAATTGTCACTATCCTGATTTTATTAGGAGACACCCTCTGCCACCTGTCAGAAGATCATAACATCGGCATTCGTCTCCTAGATCCACAACGGGAATAATGTTCCTTTAGTTGTGTAGTGTGCATCCTACATGACAGACCTGAGTCCCCCCTCCATACCCACCTCCCCAAACCTCGTTTGTCACAGCCCTAGACCCTGCTCTGCCTTCCCTCAGGGAAATTGGGGGGAGTGAAGGGGTCAGGACAATAGCAGAACCCACTGCTGGCATTCCTGTCTGCCTCCAGGGCTGGATGGACAGCCGGCTGCAGTGGGATGCCGAGGACTTTGGGAACATCAGCATCCTGCGTCTGCCCCCTGACATGCTGTGGCTCCCAGAGATTGTGCTGGAGAACAAGTAGAGCTTCAGCCCTCCCTGGGCTCCCCTCCTCACTCGACCTCCCTTCCTTAAATATCCTGAGCCTCCCCCTCCAGCCCCAACCTGCCCTCCCCCCTCTGCTTTCCCCAACCCTGCCATTTGGAAGCTGGCCCATGCTCACTGTGGCCCTTGTCCCTGTCCCCAGCAATGATGGCACCTTCAAGATTTCCTACGCCTGCAACGTGCTGGTCTATCCGTCAGGCCAAGTGTTCTGGCTGCCGCCTGCCATCTTCCGCTCTTCCTGTCCCATCTCCGTCACCTACTTCCCCTTTGACTGGCAGAACTGCTCCCTCAAGTTCAGGTGCACCCACTGCTCCAACCACCCCTCCCCTGCCGGGGCCACCTTCAAGCAGAGCTCCTCTCCCCCACAATGGCCTCTCTGACTCTGGGGCATCTCTCCAGCCCGTGGCTGAGAACCACCCTCTACCCACTGCCCTCCCCAGTTCGCTCAAGTACACAGCCAAGGAGATCACCCTGAACCTGAAGCAGGAGGAAGAAGACCAGCGCTCATACCCTGTGGAGTGGATCATCATCGACCCCGAGGGATTCACAGGTGCTGGGAGCGCAGCTGGTGGGTGGGCAGGAGGGCAGGCCCCTCAGGACCTGCCCGACAGACACACATACAGTCACACCGACACTGCCAAGATGTGCACCCACACCTCACACACTGTCTGTGCACCCACATCTCACACACACACACACACCACCACCACCACCACCACCACCACCACCACCAATCCAGCACGCTGAGAGGAAAAGGAGTGCAGCTGGGAGACTGTGTTCCAAAGGCAGAGACAGTTGAACACCGTGCCCACTCCAGCCTCTGCCCAGGCCAGAAGACCCTCTGGGTTTGAGCAGTTCCCTGGGGATGGATGTGGCTGACAGGTGAGGGGGTAGTTAGTCTTTTGGTCCTGGAGCACCCAGGAGTATGGTGGGGCTTCAACTGTCATCCTGATAAGGTGTATGTCATCCCCTCCCAATACCTCCTCCACCCCCTACTTGTGACCAAGCTCAGATCTTTATATATATATATATATATATATATATATATATATATATATATATATATATATATATATTGATTTCAGAGAGGAAGGGAGAGGGAGATAGAAACACCAGTGATGATAGAGAATCACTGATTGGCTGCCTCCTGCGTGCCACCTACTGGAGATCAAGCCTGCAACCCAGACATGTGCCCTTGACCAGAATCAAACCTGAGACCTTTCAGTCCACAGGTCGATGATCTATCCATAGGGTTGAACAGGCTAGGGCCAGGCTCAGATCTTTTATGGAGTCACCCCTGTCCATCAGAGGGGACCCACAATCTGCTGATCCATCACACCTTGGGGAAGGGGGTTCTTACTCTCAGGGGGTTGTTATCCCCAAGACTCCACATTTGAGCCACATATGGCCTCAGCTTTTATGTTTTCCAAAGAGAAAACAACAACAAAAACAAAAGCTAATCCCGGAGGAAAAATTCTCCCTTGCAGATTGGGAAATCTCCAACCCATTCCCCAGGGAAAGGCCCACAAACAGGACCTGATCCCTCCTCTGAGTGCCCCCCTCAGAGCCCTGCAGACAGGCCTGGCTGCCCCTGCAGGGGGCTCACTCCACCAGCCCCTCACCTTGCCCCGAGGCCCCGCCTTAGCCCCCTTGCCCAGACTGACTCCAAGGTGTCTGCGTGCTGCCCTCAGAGAATGGGGAGTGGGAGATAGTGCACCGGCCAGCCAAGGTCAACATGGACCCCAGTGCCCCGCTGGACAGCCCCAACCACCAGGACATTACCTTCTACCTCATCATTCGCCGAAAGCCACTCTTCTACATCATCAATATCCTGGTGCCCTGCGTGCTCATCTCCTTCATGATCAACCTGGTCTTCTACCTGCCAGCCGACTGTGAGCCTCTCACCCGGCCTCAGTGCCGGCCCCAGCTCCCGGTCACTCACCCTCACCGTCAGCGGAGCAATGGCCACCTAGTCCAGTCTCTCATTCCTCCTGGGAGCTCCCTGGGGTCACCACTGCCCAGGGTCCAGGCATGAGGGGCATGTTGTCAGAGCAGGAGTCAGGTCTGATGTGGCCGTGGGTCTGGCACCCAGGAGGCCATCGGTGGTTGAATGTATTGGGGGAGGGGGGCCAGCAGTCATGGGAGCTCTAGAGAACCAGGGTAAGGATATATGCATCCCCACTCACCAGCTCTAGAAGGACACACGTCACCCACGCTTACTTGGCTCTGGGATATTTACCATGAACAGGCACAGCGAGTCCCAGAGACAAATGCCACCCAGGCCTGCCCCTGCTTGAGACAGGGTGAGCGGTGCACTGCACATAGAAAAAGGGTGCTGGGGCAGTGCCCGGGACCCGGGGCCACACCGCATGGTCTGCTCAGGGCCGGGCTGGAGTTGGGGTGTTCCTCTGGTGCTGACTGTGCAGGGGGACACGCACAGATCTACGGTTTAGGAGGGCTGAGTGGCAGGGCATTGGCTAATGGTGACAGCTGGTGTTTGAGGTCTTACTCAGTTCCAGGAGGAGTGACCAGCACTCAGGATACTCTCCCATTTGGTCCTCTCAACATCTAACAATTGAGAAAACGGAGGCACAGAGAGGTTAGGCTACACATCCAGGGTCACCCAGCCAATAAGTGTCAGAGCTGGGATCTGAATCCAGTCACTTTAGCTCCAAAGCCCGTTATGCTAATTAGGGCACCCCGGTATTGTGAACAACCGTGCAAGGTCCACAGTGGGGTCCTTGGGAACTAGCGATCACGGCTAAGTCCAGGCTCCCTCAGGTGGCGAAAAGACGTCAATGGCAATCTCAGTGCTGCTGGCACAGTCTGTCTTCCTGCTGCTCATCTCCAAGCGGCTGCCGGCCACATCCGTAGCCGTCCCCCTCATCGGCAAGTATGTAACCCCTTTCCTCCCGGCCACAGCCCACCTCGCCTCACCCCACCCCCACCGCACCGCGCCCCGCCCCACATCACCCTGACATGCCCTGCCATGTCCTGCCACACCCTGGATGCTCCAGGCTGAACGTGTGCCCACAGGTTCCTGCTCTTCGGTATGATACTGGTGACCATGGTCGTGGTGATCTGTGTCATCGTGCTCAACATCCACTTCCGCACGCCCAGCACCCACGTGCTGTCCGAGGGGGTCAAGAAGGTGAGGGCTGTCTGGGCAACAGCACTGGGATACTTCATGTGGGCGAGTGCTCCCTGCAGTGCAAACGCACCAACCGCTGCTACACACACCCGCAGGCGCGGACGGCTCTCCCGGGGGTACTGTTACCTGTAAGAAGCCAGACACAAAAGAGCACAAGCTGCACAATTGCTTGAAGTTCAAGGGCAGGCAAAACCAAATGCTAGAGATAAAAGTCAGGATGGTGGTTCCCTCTGGGGACGAGAAAGAGCTGATGTGGGGAGGCTTAAGGAACCGTTTGGGGATAACCTTTGATAGCTCATCTGGGTGGTGGTTGGCACCATTGAGTGCATCTGCAAAATCCTGCCTGGCACTTTGTGGCAGTCAGAAATGGGTCACAGACGTTTGGATGGATGAAGGCAACTCGTGTTGGTTAAATGGCCTTCCCGTGTCCCCCTGATCTGCCACAGCTTTTCCTAGAGACCCTGCCCAAGCTCCTACACTTGTCCCGCCCCGAGGAGAACAGCCCCAGCCCCGGGGCCCTGGTCCGGAGGAGCAGCTCCCTGGGTTACATCTCCAAGGCCGAGGAGTACTTCTCGCTCAAGTCCCGAAGCGACCTCATGTTCGAGAAGCAGTCAGAGCGGCACGGGCTGGCCCGGCGCCTCACCACAGCACGTGGGTCCCAATGGTTTGGGGTGTGGCCCCTCTATGGGAGGTGGGGAAGGGGGGGGGAGGGCAGGACTCATGCCCGCCTCGGGGCTGTCTCCTCAGGCCAGCCCCCTGCAGGCTCTGAGCAGGCCCAGCATGACCTCTTCAGTGAGCTGAAGCCAGCTGTGGAGGGGGCCAACTTCATCGTCAACCACATGAGGGATCAGAACAACTACAATGAGGTGAGTGAGTGGCGTGCGCAGGTGTTCCCATTGTGTGCTGGTGAGGGTAGCCTGTCTCAAGGGGCCACAGTTCCTCTCGGAGACCCATGCCAACTTAGAGGAAGGAGTTGGCAATGGATGCAAAATCCAGGCTCCACCCCCAGAGACGGGAAGCCCCTGTCTAGAACCCCCTCTCAGCTCACTGGGCCAGGCACACACACAGGTGTGCACACAGGAACATGTCTTCACATTCTGGACATCCCTTAGGGTCCCTTCTTTCTCCCAGCTGCCAGTCATTTTCTCTCCCTGCTCAACTCCAAGCCTGATACTACAGACACAGCCAGGCATTTAAAAGGCCAGCCTTCTATGGTTGTTCAATACAACACAACTTTCTAAAGTTTTCTCTTGAGAAAAGGACGCCCTGTCCCAGTTCCCCTTGGGGCTCCCAGCAGCACTGAGTGGCTGGGATAAAGACTGTGGCGCCACTCTTCGTCTCCTGGACTGACAGCGTGACAGGCCTGCCTGTGGCCAGAGGAGGGCCTGGGCCTTGGCTGGGGACATGCAGAAGGCCCCCTTGTTCTGTGAGCCGGAGGTGGCACCCATCGACACACGTCTGTCACGGGGCCCCAGCTGGGGGCGTGGGCCTGTGCTCTGCGGGCCCTCCTCACCCCACTGTCTCTGCCCCCTTTCCTCTCCCCAGGAGAAGGACTGCTGGAACCGGATAGCCAGCACAATAGACCGACTCTGCCTGTTTGTGGTGACGCCCACCATGGTGGTGGGCACGGCCTGGATCCTCCTGCAGGGGGCCTACAACCAGCCCCCACCCCAGCCTTTCCCCGGGGACCCCTTCTCCTACTTGGAGCAAGACAAGCGTTTCAACTAGAGCAGTGTTTCCCAAACTTTTGACATATGTGTACCCCTTCTATCATTTTCGTAACGCTGAGTACCCCTCGTACTCATGAGAACGTAGAATTAGGCACAGCTAAGCATGGTGCAGTGCATATCCCCACCAAACTCCGGTGCAACGTGTACCCCCACCAAACTCTTCCCGTACCCCTGGGGGTACACGTACCGCACTTTAGGAAACACTGATCTAGAGGGCCTCCTTGCCTGGCCTGGCCCAGCTCCCCAGGCAGCTTCGGAGGGGCTTTGCGCCTTCAGGGGTGGGCCTTCAGGGTGGCAGGGAGCTGTGTGGACAGGGGTGCCTGAGAAAGGACGTGCTCCTCTTAGGGAGGCAACTCCTGGCCCTGGGATGTGAGCCCAGTTGTTCCGCACGGCGGAAGTAAGGATGAGCTGTGCCTCCCGAGACGAGGAAAGGCGAAGCCCCACTCCTCAATGAATAAAGACAGGAGCCACTGAGAAGGTCTGAGAGTGAACACTGGCTGGTGGGTGGGGCCGGACGATTTGGGGGGAAACAGGGGCCTAGCTCAAGGGCCAGGGAAAATGTCATTCAGGCTGGCCTTTTGGGACGCCTCTGTAAGAAAGACAGTGGCCTCTTCTTGCTTCCCCTTCTGCCGGGGCCTGCCTGGCAAGTTGAACCGGACTGAGGTAGGGAGGTGGGAATTGAGAAAAGAAAGACAGAGGAGTGGGGTCGGGAGGACTAGTTTATTAACTGCAATACTTTTTATACACAAGACACTAATTAGGTCTGTCAAGAGGAGTGTATTTCTTGTTCTCTTAATCTCTAAAGGAGAGATAGAGCAGAAGGACAAATTCTTGGTACAATAAATCTTCAGTTAGGTAAATACAGACTTCCTGGCAAGACATGAAATGTTGCTCCCATACTACATAAATTACTTTCATTCTACTGATCATCGCTATCCAAACAAGTCAGGGAAAACTATTTGGATAGGGGCCCAGCCCTGCTAGCCCCCTCAGATGCAAGGACCTTGTCAGCTTACATCCTGTCACCAACACCCTTTCTCTAGGTGGGGGTAGAGCAGGTGGGCTCCTGTGCCCTCACTGCCTGGTTCCTACAGCTGTCAACCCCTCAGCCTTGGCTTCTGAGGCCCCCAGGAGCCTTCCTTTCCAGTCCCCTTGGGGAAGGAGGATTTGGGCAGAGATGGGAGCACCAATGTTTGAGAATGTCCTTCCCAGCTCTTCCTGCTTCAGTCACTCTGTCTGGGTCCCTGTGGGGAGCTGAGGACTAGGGTAGGAGGATTGGGCCCAGCAGCTACTGAGGCCAGAGGTCAGCCCATCAGCTTACCCGGGCTACCCCAGGGCCCCAGATCTCAGTTCTTCCCTAGAGGGTCCCCTTGGGGTCATCTATTCCTCTCCTCCAAAGTAGGGTTGCCAGGCAAAACTAAAAAATTATTTATATTTATCTGAAATTCAAAATTAACTGTGCATTTTATATATTTACTTGCTAAATCTGGCAACTTTACCCCAAAGGGGACTTCCATCAATCTTATCCTAAGGGCCAAAGGCTGAAGCTGGAGGAGCTGGAGGAGGTTCTGTGTGGTCCCGCACCTCCAGGATGGCCCCAGCGATCCCCACTTCCTGTACTCATACCCCATGTAGCACCCTCCACACCACACCAGGATTGGTCTGGGTGACCAGTAGATTGAGGCAGGAGTGATGCTATGTCAGTTCCGAGGTTAGGTTATAGAAGATATCAAAGTGCCCCCACCCTGCCCTGCTCTGACTCTTGCTCCTTCACTCTCACTCTCACTCTCACTCTCACTCTCTCTCTCACTCTCACTCTCACTCTCACTCTCACTCTCACTCCCACTCTCACTCTCACTCTCACTGGGGGAAGCCAGGAGGCGTGGAGAGCACCCTATGGAGAGGCACACAGGCAAGGAGCAGAGGCCTCTTGCCAGCAGCCCCTGGGGTGAACTTGGAAGTGGATCTTCCAGCCCCAGCAGGACCTTTGCATACAGTCACACTCCCCACGACAGCCCCTGAGCCAGAACCACCCTGCGGAGGTGCTCCGGGATTCCCGGCCCCAGAAGCTGTGGGAGATAATAAATGTTTGTAGCTTTAAGAGACAGTTTTGAGTAGTTTGGAGCTGTGTGACCTTGGTCGAGCCACTCCTCGTGTTTCAGCTTTCGCTTTCCATCTGCAAAATATGCATAAAATAAGACCCGTTCACGGGATATTGTGAGAATAAAAATTGCTACATGTGTCTTACAAATTAAGAGGTGGTCATTGAACTCTCTTCTTGTGGGAGGGCCTCAGTCGCAGAAGATGGACTCCTCTTGTGAAGTCTCCTACGTCCAAGCCTGGTGTGGTGGCTGAGAACTGGAGCAGGGGCAGATGGCCCTATAACTCACCTCCTGAGGTCCAGGCTTAAAGTCTTCACAGATCAACCCATTTTCCTCAGGAGGTGCCTATAGCCTCATGAGCTCAGCTATACAGAAGGTGACATGTTTAGTTTTTCAATGGAACTGAAGGAAAATACCAAAACTGGCCCTACTTCCTTCTGCCTTCCAATATAAATAATCTACAAATTCAAGGTACACATTTTGAATTCCTAACTAGCTTGGACTTACACCTGTCGATGAGCAGGAAATCTGGGCCTTCCCTGGAACAGTCCACCACTTCCGTCCACCAACTCGCAGAGGGTCCCAATTTCAAGCACAGAAGAAAGGGGACTTGGATTAGATTCCCCAGCTAGTCGTTGCTTCTCTCTGCCACACGGTGGTGCTGTTGGCAGCGGGTCTTCTCAATCAGCAGGCGATCAGTGGTGTCAGGCCTAGCTCAGGTAGCTAGCTGTGAGCCTTCCAGAAAAGACAACTCCAAATGCCACACCCAATCCAAACTGCCTGTTGTACAGGTTCCCAGAGCCACTGAGGGTCCCCCAACAGCACCCATCCTCCAGCACTCAGGTTCCAGGTGCTGTCAGGGCTGGTCCACTCTCTGGGGGCCATGGAACTCTATCATCTTCTCCCCATAGGAAGTCACACCCACAGGGGCCAGCTGTCCATGAAGCCAGGGCTGTCCCTACACGACTTCCCAGGCCAGCTGGGCTACCCACCCTCTTTCAAAGGGTGATGACTCCATTAGAAGTGCACTGAACTGCAAGGAACAGAAAACCCCCAGATTCATGGCTTAAATAAGTGAGGTTTCCTCTTTCTCACACAATAAGAATCGCAGGCAGGGCCGTGGTTGCACGGTTGCTTCAGCTGTCCCACAAAGCTACCAGGGACCCAGGCTTGTTGCCTCAGGTTGCAAGCTGACTGCCACAGCTCCGCATTTCACATCGTGTTCAAGGCAGGAAAGGGGCCAGCCATTTCTGACCCCTTTTATCAAAAGCTTCCCTGGAGGCCCTTAGCCAACTTCTGCAGAGATACCACTAGTTATCACACGGCCACTCTTAGCTGCAAAGGAGCCTGGAAAATGAACATTTCACTTTTCTGGCCTCTAGAGTAGAAGGTGGTGATGGAGTAGTTGTTAGACAATAAATGACACCTACAGAAGATTTCCTCTGAATGGGTCCCATCCTTTCCCTTTAACCCCTCCAGGCCAGAAACTGCTGCCCCTCAATTCGCCCTCCTGAGAATCAAGGAGACTTCTCAGCCACTTGGCCAGAGCAGAGAGGAGAAAAAAAAGGAACTTAAAACTTCATACATAGGGAGGTAGCATAGTTCAAAGCAGAGGGAAATCAGTCTCCATCTTCTCCCTTTCCCCTCCCTCCCAAACACTGTGGGGAAGGAAGAAGGCAAAGTAAAAAATGTTGAAGCATCAGTTGAACCATTTGTGCCTGGACCTGTGCCTGGGAGGATGGTGCCAGGGAGAGGGAGAGGGATGGGTGCCCCATTACTGAGCAGAAGCCATTAATGATCTTTGGCAAAGTGTGGTTTTTAGAGGGAAGAGCTATTGTTCTGCAAAATGTGTGAGGCAATGGAGTCTGGGGGCACCAGAAGAAGGAAGAAGGGGACATTGGCTTTGTAAACTCCAGAGAAAGTAGCCCAGGTGCATGGAGAGATCAAAGCTTGGGGTGGGGGTGCTGTCAAGGAAAATCAGGTGTGGGGCCCAGAGCAGGACTGGACATAAGGATGGCAGCCGAGACACAGGACAAGCAGATGTCCAGGGAGGCAGCTGCTACCACTGCCGCCTCCCCTCCTCCCAGTCCCGGTGAGGACAGGAGGAGCCTGTGGCCCTGCTCCAAGGGGCTGAGGGCTGAGCCAACATCTCCTTTGGATCGCCAAGGACAGGGTGTGTCAGATGACTTCCGGTTTACTGACACACATTGAAAAGCTACAGACAGCCCTACCTGGTTTGGCTCAGTGGATAGAGTGTCGGCCTTCGGACTGAAGGGTCCTGGGTTCAAGTCCAATCAAGGGTGCATGCCTAGGTTGTGGGCTCGATCCCCAGAATGGGGCGTGCAGAAGGCAGCTAATCGATGGTTCTCTCTCATCATTGATGTTTCTATCTCTCCCTCTCCCTTACTCTCTGAAATCAATAAAAATATTTTTTTAAAAGAAAAGTCATAGACATTATTCATTTGTGAGGTGGGGACATGGCCCTCAAATGGTGCTTTCCTTCAGACCTCAGAGGCATCTGCCCCCCTGTCCCCTAAGATACTGAAAGGTGGGTGGCATGAATGGGAAACTGAATTTTCTGTCTTGCCCATGAACTGGGACATGCTGACCTGTCTGCTTGGAATAGATGGTCAGAAGACAGGTGGCCTGAGCCTGTGACATAGCCATCGGCTTCCAGATCAGCTCAGCCCCACCCTTCCCGTGACCATAAACCATGAAGCGGATGGAGCTTGTTTTCCAGCCCTAGTAGGTTCCTGTATCTGACTCTCAGGGGGCCACAACTTCTTGTCTATCTGTCCCATGGGCTGTGAGCTCCTGCAAGCAGCTCCCGTGTATCCTGAGTCCAATGAGCCCGGAGCTGTGCCTACCATAAGTCTACAGATGATTTAATAAATAC